TTTTCTTTTCTTTTCTTTTCTGCCTGAGGGGCAACAGGCATGCAAAGGGTTCAGCCTGCAAAGCAAGGGAATCCAACAAGCAGTTTATTTTATTTTTTTTCTAACTTGGTGGCAATGAAATAGCTAGGCTAGAGTAGGGCAAACCTGTGCCTGAGGTTGTGGTTGGGCACCGAAACCCTAGAGCAACCAGTCTTCCCAAAGCAGCACTCCATGGAGAAGACAGACCAAGATCAAGCCCAGACATCCAGCTCCATGACAGAAATGCAGGGAGGGGATGCGGGACCAGAGAGTTCCCTGGAGATCTTCCAGTTAGCAACAACTGACAATAGAACAGAGAACCAACTGAAGTCAGTGGAACTGTGCCAGCTTTGATCAGAGTTGAATTTAGTTCCTGGGGTTTTTACTCTTCAACTACTCTATTTATGAAGTAAATGCCAAGTAACATTTACTTCAATGGGACTAGTCATGTGAGTATTGTTAAACAAGCATTAACATCACCTCGCTGCAGGACTGTGCATGGATGCTCCTGAATTCCACCCATCTCCCAAGATCCATGTGAATCTCCAGAGATCTGTGAATTGGACATGTCTATGTGTGGTTGGGTGAGAGCAGACCCCTCTACTGACTCTGAAAAGGAGGACCAATTCCACTCCCCTCTTTTGGTTCTCTGAACCCAGTCTGATCTCATGGCAGAAAAATGCAAAGGACCACAAGCAGAAACTTGCCCTGTTTCAAAGCATGTGCATTGGGGGAGGGGGGACAGCTCAGGGCTACATTTCCTGCTGTAACTGCAACTTAATTAAAGACTTGGTAGAGTATTCCCCAAAGCCTGGTAAAGTTTAGATACATATTTCCCCTTAGATTGTTAATTTTGAGCTACTGGGGTGATGTAATGGTCCCAACCTTAACTCAAACTATTTAAATATTGTATTTTCTTCCACCAGTTATTGTTCCTTTTTCTTCAGTAAGGTTAGAGAGTCAGATTTAAAGTGTGTCATGCAATATTTTTGGTTACCAATTACAGACTGCAGTTCTTACAGACGGGATTTCAATTTGACATTTTCTAACCTATTTTTAAAAAATCATTAAGTTTTTTTTTTTGTGAGAGCAGGCATGAATATTTATGGTATTATTTATTTTTTCAGTATAAATGGAATACATGTCTTAAAGATTTTTAACTAATTTTCTCCTTTAGAATAATATTATTGCCCTATGCTAAAAGAATGCCATGTTAATTGGAGCGCTCATTACATGTGCCTATTATAAGACAGTATTTTCACATTTCTCCAACAGTAAATATAAAGGTGACAAAGAAGAGATTTATGTGGATTGCTTATTTATTTACTTGTTGCAACCATTTTCAGTTCATAAATGTGTGTTGGTTATGAATGACCATATGCCGGAATTATGGGGAGGCAAATACATTCTAAAAATATAATAGAATGCAGGACAATACAACAACCGTTTGCTTTAAAATAAATCGCAGCATTTTTCCAAAAGAGGTGAACATTCTCTCCTTTCTAGATTACTTACACAACAAGATGGGATAGATGGAGGTAAGCAGTCACTGTCTTCTTATGTTTCTAGGCTATATGTGTTCAAACTTTCAAGGCTTTGGCAGTTGTTTTGTTCTTTTGAAGAGCAACATTCTTGTACAGAAAATTTCTCGCATCAAACTAGCAGAGGCGCAAGTATACAATTTTTTTTAATCAAAAGACATTTTCAAGTTGTTATTTTCATGATGATTATGACGATGTAGCATACACATAACCTCAGAGATAAACCCGTTATGTTTTTGAACATTCAA